TAACATACACTACCAATTGGAATTGTTTTGTTTTGTTTTGAAGAACATGCCAGGTTTTAAAACTAAAATTAATTAAACACGCAGGAAACAAGTGTAAAAAGTAAATTAAAAAGGTAGCCTCCCTTGGGTCGAAAATACTTCACCTATGCTAGTTAAACCAGTTTAATGCTGAACAGAGTTTAGAAGAAAGAAAACACACTTACTGATAATGCGCAGATGCAGGGTATTGCTTGATGAAGATTTAAAAAAAATAATAATAGTTAAAAAAAAAACAACGGCCACATAAATAAATAAGCACTTTTATTTACTTAATCCCTTGAAGTGCTGCAACCGAAGCACTCCAGACGACGGCTCTCTTGAATTAAGCCCATGTAACTTGTAAGCATCGCAGCCATTGCTTTGACTTTTAAAAAAAATTCCTCCTCCAGGATTTTCTATCCAGCTACTCCCTTCAAATAAGTATAATAAATAATTTGCGATCAGCCCCTCTATATGGCTGATGTCCAAACGCCGATTGTTGTAGTTGGGCAAGGGGTCATCCATAAATGACGTCACTCTTTTTTGACGATTTTTACCTTCCCCCTCACCTTCGTCACACATCGTCAAAAAAGCAAGACCCCACCCTAAAATGACGTCACACCTCAGCCTACAAACCACCTTCCCCCCCCCCCCCCCCCCCTCAAAATTGCATTTGAATTTTTCTTAAAATAGGATATTTTTCCAAAATCTTGTCTGAACTCTAGCAACATAGGGTATTTTAATCAATTCCTATTACAATTTATTAAAGCAGTTTTCTAAAACGCGAAATAACGGCAAAAAATTCGTTTTATAACATTGCTTTTTTTTTAATAATGCAAAAGTGTGACGTCACACCACCCTCATCACACACGTCACATGTGGTGTTCGGGGAAACATAGGAATTGCATTTGTTTTGAAGGGGCTCACCATTCCCTTTAACGTTTTAAGGTGTTGACAAATGATCTGCGTTTGTTTCAATACACCAAATAAATGTCCATCATTAAAAATTAATGTAAAATTTTAAAAATTTAGAGACTTATAAAGAATTCACTTTTTTACTTAAACGTGAAACTTAGTATTTCTGATTCTAGTACTTCGATAACAGGAGACCTAAATATCTGACATTAGAGGGTGTATGAGATTAGTTCTATATACTTAGTAGATACCTGTCCGAAACCCATAACTTCCCGTCGTATGTACAAATCAATCAGTGGATTGACCAACGAGCTGCATCCAGAAATAACCTTCAGGGTCAGCAGTTAATCATCGGCACTTGCTAACAGTGTCGTAGTCAGGAATTTGTCATGGGGGAGGGGTGGTTAAAATATACCCCATCTGAACCCCCCCCCCCTCATCACACACTGTCACAAAATTACGGACCCCCTCCCCCCTACGAGTGTGACGTCATTTATGGGCGACCCCTATGTGTAAAGGCCTATATATGTGAGTGTATGTATTCTATAGAACAGGGGTCTCCAAACTTTTCAGTCCGAGGGCCACTTTAACTATCAAATTTCAGTTCGGGGCCAGTTTCTTCCAGGCATGTCTTTTATTTTTCTGGACAAAGTTCCTCAGCCATCACCAATAAACGATTTTTCCTTGGACAAAAAGATCTCCGCGGGCCGGATGAAAGGACTTCGCGGGCCGCATCCGGCCCGCGGGCCGTAGTTTGGAGACCCCTGCTATAGAATATAGTTTTGGAAATTGTAAATGTTGCAATGTGACACCAAAAGCTGTAACTTTACGGTAGACAGCTGTAAATATGGGGTTTTTACCATTCTGACTACGCCACCCCTACTAGCTGATGAAGCTAATCCTACCTTTCCTATCCTACTGTAGACTGTTTAAAACAGCCGCACATTTTCATCCTTATTTTATGTTAACTTGCTGTATTTTTAGTAGCATATCAACATATATCAATCACCCCTTCCCTTGTTAAGGTCGTTGGGGCACCACAGTAGATTTTATCAAGATTTTCTGCCAAACTGTCTCTGGGTAGCTCTACAATGGGGAGCCCAGTCCAATCTGTAGTGGCATCCATCCTATGACGTTTTGCAATCCCGTCCTGGAATAGTGCATTCTTGTTCTGGACAGGTTGTGACACGTCCATACCATCTGCATTCTCTATCACTATGCTAAATGGACACTAATAGCATTAGTTAGTAATCCTTTAATATGGAGACGTGTTTGACGACCTCAAGAGTTTTCACTTATTTTTTTAAATCTAGTATATTTACAGAACTCTGTCAACATTGTGTAGTTATACTGATCTATTTTTGTTACGATAATTTTATTAATAATAACTGTTAAAATTCAAATTCTAATTAGTAATATTACAATTTATTTGGGAACAACCCCTCCCCCCCCCCCCCCATCTGTTGCTTTACTGTATCTATTTAGAAATCACTCAAGCGTAGGCTGCAAAATTTACAAAAATCCATGCCCATCCTTGATGCCATGTTAGTATTGATCCATGTAGGCCTACAACTACGGCGTGTAATTAAAAAAGAGTGGCTTCCCATTTCCGTGTACCATCCATCCACTAAAAAGCCAACACACAGCAGCTAAGTAGGCCTACACTACGAATCATTATGTAGTCCAGTACCATACAAGAAATATAAAACAAAAAAACATGATATGGGGTTGATATTTATTAATCCACACACAAAAAACAACACTATCTACATATTAGTAACAGCACAACAGCAATTAATTAGTATGGCAGACTTTCGTTCTTTGGTATAAGTATAAAAATACCATATAAACAAAGTTTATTGCAGAAAACGACATATGGTAATTGGGAAGATTGCTGTAAATGTGAGCGCTTTTTTTTTCGAGTTTACGTAGTCTTATGATTAAAATTTTTTACAAGCTTAAAATAAAAGTTAATAATACACTCTTTCAATAACTGCTTATTTTATTTTCAAAGATGTTGTGAAATCGGGCTTGTAAAGTGATCATCGATATAACTCATTAATTGACCTATTCGCGAATCTGATGATAGATGTTACTCACTGTTTGGCATTGTACTGTAATAACTGACGAACTGAAAAAGGATCATCCATAATTTTTTGAAGATTTACCCCCACCCCCTTTTCCCCATCGCCACAAAAAGCCAGACCACACCCCTAATATGATGACATAACTCAGCTTACCACCTCTACCCCTCAAAATCGCAGAAAGGTCAACATTGAATATATTTCTATCAATTACAAAAAAAGGCATTTAAAAACGCAAAAACGGCTAGATTTCAATTGCTAACACCACTTTCTAAAATACACTCATGCAGGGGCGTAGCGAGGGGGGGGGGGGGGTGCGGACCGCACCGGGTGACACCATTTAGGGGGGTGACACCAAGGCAAAAAATAGCAAAATATATAGAGAAAAACTCGAGGGGGGGGGTGCAAATCGAAAGTTTGAGGGGGGGTGCAAATCGAAAACTTGAGGGGGGGTGCAAATCGAAAGTTTGAGGGGGGGGGGGGGGTGCAAATCGAAAATTGGAAGGGTCGCTAGGGCCTCTGGGGGGTGACACCATTAAGTGCCGCACCGGGTGACACCCGACCTCGCTACGCCACTGCACTCATGTATCGTTGCTTTGTTACCCTACACACCCTACCCCCCCCCCCCCCCTCTCAATGAAATTTCGATTTCCCTTACTTTTGGAGGATAACCCGCAAACTAAAACAGTCAAATTCACAGCAAAACTCGCAATGATTGACACTTTTATTTAATAAACTAAAAAAAAAAAAAACCACTCCAAACACATTTGTTAATAATCATGCAGAAAAATGCCACGCAACTGGGAACGGTGGGAGGAGAATCAGCAATCTTTTCTTACTTTAAGCACTCCACATTTCCTTTCCCACAACACACGTGAAGTAATGATTTTGAGCTAATATTCATCGTGTCCTCGTAAAACTCGTCGACATTGGCACCGTGCTCCAATAATTCTGTTAACTTTTCAACATTATTTTCCACCACTGCATAATACAAGCTACTATGATCTTCCATTACTCTGAAAAACGCCAGCAGTATTTTATAATAAAAACGTGTTTACAATTTCTATACAGGATTTTTTTTCCCATAAAGCCACGCCCATTCAGAAGCCGATTTTTCATGAATAGTCCAAGGCCTATATTGCATATACTTGGCTGTATATATATAGGCTATATATATAAACAATAATATATATATATATATATATATATATATATATATATATATATATATATATATATATATATATATTCCTCCTAGATTACGAACATGTTTCCTTGGCCTAGAGAGGCCGTCAATTATTCAGCTCTTGATCCTCTAGGCCTAGATCTATATTGAAATTTGAAAGTATAAAATTCTTGGACGAAGCAACCGATGATCTTGAACTTAAGTTGAATTGAATAGGACTAGGCTTCGTCAGCTTGTAAATAAACTGAGTCTATCTTCTGCGCATGACTGCGGTCTATTTCGAGGCTCCTAACGTGGCGACTGTGTTTTCTTATTAAAATCGCAGATTTACGGCTAGAGGTGAATAATATTTGCTATTCGGTTTAACGTAGCACAGTTTTAAAGCGCTAAAACTAAAACTGTGTTTCTACCTTTAAATATGACCGACAATTTTTTAAACTTTTCTAAAAATAGACTTCCTGTTTTATTTTGTTAGGAAGTTTTTACATTTTTAAAAAGCAAATTAAAAAAGGCCTATTTAAAATAACAATGTGAATTCAGATTATTTTTTATAAGCTTCCATATTAATATAATATACTTTTGTCGTATTTTAAAAATTATTAATCTTAGTATTACAATTAAAAAATCGAAACTTGGCTACTTACTACTTAGTTACAGGATGTTATTCGTTTCTACTCAGCCTTCCTAGCGAGAAACACGTTACTAGCGGTATAAAAATTTACTGCCTGAGACCTTAATAGTTTAGTTGTTTCACCTAACATGCAAAAGAGGCAATAGCGCAGTGCGTATGTAATGAGAATACGGCCTTAGTAACTTCCTGCCAGACTGTTCAGGAAACCATTACTCAACTTTATAGAACATATAAAATTAACTAAGCATACTAGACATAGTCATTGTTTATCTCAAGGTCTGGCAGCAGAAGAAAACGTTAACTTTTTCACAATGAGTGCTTCAGGCGAATTTGGCAACCCATTGAGAAAGTTCAAACTTGTATTTCTTGGGGAACAAAGTGGTGTGTAATAAAAAAAAAATAGTTGGCTAGTTAAAAAGTTGATTTTCTCTGATAACTGAACTGTGTCTCACAAATTTACTGTTTTGTGTTTTAATTTTTAACGAGCCGACCCGCGGCATATCATACGCCGCTATTTAGTTGTTGTTTTTTCTACTTTTCAGTTATTCATAATTTGTGAATTCGACACTACCAACGCTGCCACTGAAAATATTTCTTTAAAACACTAAAAGTAGCTGGTTAAGGACGATAACCCCCCCCCCCCCCCCCCCCCCCCCCTCCGTTAAAGTTATTAGTTATTAAGTAAACTCCACTTAGTTACACCACCCCCCTACGTTTAAAATCGTCTCAAACTAAATTATCTGCCCCTAATAGTCATCACTAAACCCGGCTCAGTTTGTAAACATTTAGAGTGAACCACAGCTCACCAGACCATGTAGGGGTGGGGGTGGTAGGGAGCGCGTTTACAGCTTGTTTTCTAGCGTCTCCCAGAAGAGAATTATTTATTATATATATATATAGATTCTAGATATCTAATCTAGATTTATATCTAGATGTAGACTCTAGAAAGAAGCTACATTAGATAGTATATTAGTTGGTTTGATGGATGAATGAATGCATTTAATAATTAATTTAAATGGATTAGGCCTAAATGTCAAAGCAAAGAGTTACTAAACTATTAAAGAGTAAGACTACCACTTCAATTCATCACTAGATCTAGATGATGAGGCTACATGTCAATAATGTCATAATAATATGATAATAGTATGCAATATGTAGAATCTAGATCTAGTTCTAGCAGTTTTCACTTTTGGTTTAAAAAGTCAGACTAGTGACTGATGATTAGACTAGAGAAGAGAGTTGACTTAGACTTCTAGATCTAGTATTCTAGTGTCTACCTAGTTGTCACTAGTCTTACTAGCTAGATCTAGAATAGACTTTTTTGTTTTGTCTGCTAGACCTAGTTTTAGTATGAATCAGCCTGAGACAAGTGAGTGTACTTTGAACTTAGTGTAGTAGTAGTAGCTACCATTTCAAGTTATCTAAAATCTAAGTCTAATGTAGGCCGTTTTGTTCACAGCTTCTAGGTTTGTTTGTTTATGATGCACATCTAATGGCCCTAGTGCCTAACCTTAATTTCTAACCATTAAACTTGACTCAAGATTACAATACTACCAACAAACAAACACCTATTTTCGGAAGTGTATTATCAGACATTGTAAGTAAAAAGTAAAGTTTCCCTTTCAAACCTGACGGTCTATGGGGCAAGTGAAGTAGAGTTCACTTGTTTCTGTGACCTCGGCATATGAAGAGATAGTGTGGTCAGCACTATGCCCAGCCGCCTTTACTTTCCCTAACATGAGTTAGGTACCCATCAGAGTTGGGTGGACTCAGGGACGGTCTACTGACTTGAACCCGGATTCGAACTCGAGACTAGCGGGTTAGCAGTCCAGCTCTCTACCGCTAGACCACTCCGTCCCATCAGACATTGGCATACCCAATAATCCAACTAATGATTTTGATGCCATCATCAGTTGAAGTAATCTGAACTACCCATTTCTGTTTTCTATTAAAGTTTGATCTGAATTGTCTGGTGTACTTGCAAACAGCACTTTAGTGAAAGTAGCTCTCTGTATACTTGTATTCAGATCAAATAACTCATAAACACAGCTATTAAACCAGCATAATTATGTGGATATTATACTTCGAAACCTTAATTTTATACACACGACAATTATCTAGTAATTATTTTCTGGCTTTATGTGATGTGAGATTGGCAACAGATATTATTTAGAATGCAGTTTATGTAACTTGGTATACTTACCCTCTATCAATTTAAAAAGCATGGCATGCTAATTGTGTACAGATAATGTCATAGAGTAAAAAAAATACCAAGTTCAAATAGCAACATGTCATACCCCCTCAAGACAGAATGTGTTTACAATGATGTTTATCACACTTTGCTACTGTAATTTAAATTTATTTTAAATTATTTATTTTTTAAATATTTGTGTAAAATTAAGCACATTTTAACTTAAAATTAAAAGCAAGCAAGAGTAAACCAAGTTTTAATGGAGGTCACATGCCAATTAGTTTTGTACAAAATGATGAAGGATATGATAGGCACACGTTCACTTTGGAATATTTTCCTGTTATAAATTATAAATACTTGGGTCAAAAAGTTAATTTACGCTAAATTGACTTTGTTTACCTTTAAAAAGTGGATCTTCATAAAAATGCTAAAAGGGGTGTTAAGTTACTGGTATTAAAGTAAATATTAACTAATGTCAATGTCTTCGCTAAACCATAAGATTAAAAAAAGCTAGGCCTCTATCTACTGTTTTATTTAAAACTGATTTAAAAATGCATTTATGATTTTAACGTATTTACATTTCTCACAACTATTAGCATTTGAGCTTGTCTCAGGTCTTAAAATGATGTAACTATTGTTTAAATAGTTTACTGTCTGACATATGCATTTTATAGTTTAAGGTCTATTGTGGTTTGCATTACTTTTTAAATCCGTCTTTTGTCAATAGATAGCCTCCATTGCCTGTTCTTGGTATTTTCCTGATGATTAAGTTTTCTTTACTAAAATTTCTCTTGAACTAGGCTTACTGGAATTTGTATTATTTTATCATTACAGTTGGTAAAACTTCACTAATTACAAGGTTTATGTATGACAGCTTTGATAACACATATCAGGTAAGATTTCCCTTTTCAATTGTAACATGTACAGATATTGCATTTAAGTGATGTTTCTAAAATATGGTCATATATCTTAATACATTTTTTTATAGGCCACTATAGGAATAGACTTTCTTTCAAAAACCATGTATTTGGAAGACAGAACGGTAAGACACATTTTTTCTGTAATTTATGGTAGTCATTGATTTATTTGCCCTTATTTTTATTTTTAAAAAATAACAATTTCTTTGTCTTGACACTTTGGTATAGTAGGCCTTTATATTTTACTGTTTCCTTCTTATTTTGGTCTGCCTTTAGAAATAAAATGTAATGTTAATTTTTACTGACTAGATACGTCTACAATTATGGGACACCGCAGGGCAAGAGAGATTCCGCAGTTTGATTCCTAGTTACATTAGAGATTCTTCAGTAGCTGTTGTTGTCTATGATATTACAAGTAAGCTGTTCTCTCTTTTTGGTCTTTGCTTGGTGCTTTCTACTCTATTGTCATATTCATATCATATTTTAATTTTTTCTGCATTTTGAGTTAGTATTTAATATTTATAGTTTAAACATTCTTCAATGTTTTCTTTTTATTGCAAAATGCAAATCATGAACCAGTCTTAAAACAATGTTTAAAAAAAAATGAATTTCTCTCATAATAGCAAAAATTCTAATTTCATTCTTTTTCCAAAAAGACTACCAATGTTTTTTTCACATCACAATTTTAAAACTATCAATTTTGTTTTAGATGCAAATTCCTTCCATCAAACATCAAAGTGGATTGATGATGTTCGAACAGAGCGAGGGAGTGATGTGATAATCATGCTTGTTGGAAATAAGACAGATCTTTCAGATAAACGGTAAATTACATTTCTTGTGTTATATTTGTTTAGTGGTCTAGCCTTTATAGATAGTAGCTTTGTTTCCTACGCTACTGTCAATCTTGCAATTATAGTATTTTTCAAAAGCTAAAGTATGTTAAATACTCATATAAGTAATTTAAAAAGGAGTAATCAAATGTCAAAGGTTTTTTTTTAAAAGTTGCATATCATCACTTTTATAGAGGTGAGATGTTGAGGTGAAAAGATCTGAAGTGATAAGTCTGTAGCTGTACCTGGGCAATTTTGTTTTTCCGTAATTTTATTTACATAGTTAAGGCACTAGAAAAGGTTGTCTTGCTTTCTAATTTTTTAAAAACATAACTGTACCAAATTAGCAGGAAACTGCATTCTCATTTAAATTAGGCTGTTTGGGTTAATTTCCCATGAACAAGAACTAATGAATACATGGGTAAGATGGGCACTTGGTAAGAACGCCTGGTCTAGTTTGCTTGACATTTATCCCCCTTTACAATAAGATAAAGTTTTCAGTAATTAAGCTGTCCAATTGAAAATTAAAAGCTGATTTTTAAAACTTTCAGACAAGTGTCAACAGAAGAAGGAGAGAGAAAAGCAAAAGAGTTAAATGTGATGTTTATTGAAACAAGTGCAAAGGCTGGTTATAATGTTAAACAAGTAAGTTATTTTTTAAATGTTAGGAGTTTATTTACTTGTCCCAGCATACATATTTTTCCACTGTTCAGTTTTTTATTTTTGTATTGCCTGGTCATACATACATACCAGATGATTTCTAGTTTGTTGGAACTAAAAGGTATTTAGTCAACCATCCTATGGACCTGCTTTATTGTAATGTACCCTTGTACCAGGTATTTAATCACTATGCCTTAACTGGCCGTCAATATTTTAACCTACACTTGTACAAGGTAGTTAATCACTTGTACCAGGATTTAGTCACCATGCCCTAAATGGCAGTCGATATTTTAACCTACCCTTGTACCAGGTATTTAGTCACCATGCCCTAACTAGCCTTAAATATTTTAACCTACCCTTGTACCAGGTATTTAGTCACCATGCCCTAACTAGCCTTAAATATTTTAACCTACCCTTGTACCAGGTATTTAGTCACCATGCCCTAACTGGCCTTAAATATTTTAACCTACCCTTGTACCAGGTATTTAGTCATCATACCCTAACTGGCCTTAAATATTTTAACCTACCCTTGTACCAGATATTTAGTCACCATGCCCTAACTGGCCTGCTGTATTTTTCCCCCCAGTTATTTAGACGAGTTGCTGCTGCTCTTCCAGGAATGGAACAAAAAGATGATAAAAATACAAGTATCCTTTTGCATTTACCCCTCGCTACTGCTATTCATTTGGTCTTTAGTCTTGTTTTAAATTCAAAATTCTTTAGTGCTAATAAAAGTGCATTAATTCCCATGTGTTGTAAGATAGATCACCATATAGCTGTGCCTACAATCACTATTCACTTTTAGGCTGAGCATTCTCTTAAGTTTTCTTGTTGAATTTAGCTGATTTAATTTTTCTCTGATGTGGTAAAGGCTTGTGGAGTGTATTATCATTGGTAAAGCCCATTTTCTTTGTTCTAATGTTTAATCAACACTAGCTAAACCTGAGATGATGCAGGTAAGTGTTTATGGTATATTTACTCGAGTTTTCTGTCATTACACTTTAATGTTGGTGTTTCATATTGCACATCGTTGTAGGTTTTATGTTTAGTATTTTGATGTTTTATTGATGTTTTTTGTTACACATAAATACTGTCATATTTAGAACATTTTTGTCTATCAATAGGCCCAGCAGTTAAAATAATCACTCAGTGAAAATTTAGATCTGAAATAAATCCCTTTTACTCTTTTGTAAGGAAAATTAAAGAACTGAGACTCACATTTGATACAGTTTGAGAAACCTTTTTATTTTAACAAATTACTTTACCTGTTGATAATGATAGTTTTTAAGTTGTTTATTTTAAATAAATAAATCTCTAAAAGTAAGAAACCAGATAAACTGTTTTTAACCAAATACTATATATTCAAAAGAAAAAAAGTACTGTAATTATATCCTCTTAAATACTATCACTTCAAGCATGCTAATGAGTAATTGTGATGATTTCCATCCAAAATAAATTCCTTGACAAAAATTTTCTCAGTGACGGAAGTAAAATTGAAAGAAGCCCCTGTAGAAACTCCGCCCCCTGAAGGAGGATGTGCTTGTTAGTTTGTGTGTAATTTAAGGCTGTGACGAAGTTGCACAATTAATTGCTGAATGTATTAACATAAATGCTGCCGCTAGAGTTTATTTCTTGTCTGAATACAAGATGAGTAAATTATTTTAACACTTGATGTATTTGAACTTTCATAAATACAGTGAAGGTAAAATGATGAAATAAATGAATACTCTTTTAAAAGTGAAATGTCAAGTTTGATTTGTTTCTGTGGTCTAAGTGGATTCTGTTTCAATATATAATTTTTGCACTTGGTCTTGTTTTCACAAGCTGGGTTCTTTACATTTTCTTTTCTTTTTAAAGCATGATTCTATTCTTTACATAGATGATCCTTTGTTTTTTTCTGTTAGTTAACCAACCCACATAACAATTTTTGTTTGACTTGTAACCCACATAGTGATGTGATTCACGCACATACAATTTGTTTTGTTTTTGCTTTGCGTATTGTGTTCCTTAACCATTATTGCAGTGCATGATGTTGTTCTTAAGCCTGACGCCCCCGCAGAACAGCAGACGCCAGAAGGAGGCTGTGCATGCTAGAACTTGTCACGTTTTAACCTCTGATCAACTTTAACCTTTTTGTGTTTGCGCTGATGAATATTACGCACTGTTTATCTTTATTTTATAGCAAAAATGTACCACCAATTTAGAAGTAATTGAAGACGTTTAATCTGGATAATTCAAAATAAAGTACTATAATTTAGGATACAGTTTAGCAGACTATTAATTTTGAACATAAAAAGGCATGGGTGTTTAGTGTAAAAACAATTTTTTCTTTTCATCAGTAGAGAATTGTTTCATGGAATTTGATTTGCAACATTTGACAATGAACTATTGCAATTTTTAAATGGTTTTTTGTGACAGACAATAATTTATTTGGCTATGATCATCTATAAATTTTAAAAACTTGTTGGTTGATGAATATATAGGTATTGAAAATAAACAGTTGTAATATGAATATGCAATGACTGTAAGACTGTTAACGGTGAAGACAACACCTAAGTGACAACCTGTATATATCTGTATATGTAAATTGTCTTAAAACAGTGCTTCACCCTGGCCCAAGTATAATTTCAAGATGTCTGACTTGATTTCTACCATCCATTGAGATACCAACACAATGTGGAAAACTAGAAAAAACAAATATCTTGAGAAATAGTCAGCCGTCTTGAATTATGCAGATACTTTGAGAACCACTGTTATAAAGACAAGTGAATTGGGGCACATTCTTTCATTTAGCTTGATATATCTCTTTCCTAGATCCCATCCATTTGTGATTTATTTTTGCTACACATTTCTTCCAAGAAAGAAATGTTGTGCTTTATCAATATGATCAAAATCTCAAGTAATGTTAATGTTTTTTTGTATCATAAACATACTGTGTTGTGGTGTAGGGATTAATAATAGTTGCTAGGCATATTTAGTATTTATTTAATATTTTAAACTTCACAAAAGTGATTTCTCTAATGTTTGTAAAATAAATTTGATCAATGAACAATCAATACTGATTATCAAAGAGTTCACTTTGGGCCTGATAACTATTAATTTATTATTTTTAACATGTTTTTTCTAACACAAATATTGCATCTTAAAAAAATTGAATGAACACGGCACTTTGCATTCATATTTAAAAACCAATCCTGCAACAGATGAGTGTTGTTGATTGAATGTAATTTTTACATTTGAAGGTATAATTTTAACAAGTGTGGCCGCAAGCTAATTGTTTTGCAGAATTTGTAACTAATTGGCTTTTTACTCAAACTCGTTTGTCACTCTAGTTCTGGCTGTCTGATAGCAGTCATATAGAAAGGCAAAACCATATAAACAGCATGCTCATTTCTTTCATACACTCAGTCTTATGTTTGTATTTTTTAAGTTTATTTGTTTTGCTGAAAATAATTTCAAAAAAATTTTCAGTACCATATATTAAATATGATAGTAAAATCGACCTAGGTAACTGATAAATCAGTTTAAAGTACTTAATGTTGTTTAGTCTGTCGTTTAACAGAAATTATGAAATTTTACAGACGTGTGTAGGAAAGCTGTGATTTGATATCTGTTCTACTTTGTACAGTCTCACACATCAGTCTAGAATTTTAAGGACTTGAGGCATTTTTTTTTGTAGACAATTTAAGCCTTGTAATTCCAGGTTGTAGGCTGGTTAGATTAGTTTTCAAGCTTTGTTAAATTTTTGGGAAAGTGTGACAGCTCGGCTTGATGTATGGTTAATGTTGGCTGTGTAATCTTTTTCTACTATATGATGCCCTATGTGTGGAGCACATCACTGCTATGTACCAGTGTACTAACTATGCTATGGTTGTTTTTATAATATGATTTTCTTTTTCTTATTTGGGTTTTATTTTCTCTAAAGGCTTGAGTTATAATCGAGTGTTAACGTTCTCTTAGAACTTTCTCTGAGAAGTCGTATTATTTATCTACTTGTCTTGTAAAGTTCTATATTGGCTCGCAGTTCACCAAAAAATGCACCAAAGTTTTGAAGTTAAAGTTATTCCCCCCCCCCCAATCATTGTATTTTTTGTTTAATATTTTAACTGCATAAAAACATGATTGATTTTTATCTAGTGTAAACATTTATTGAAGTACTGTGTGCCTTTTTATGGGAAGCATTCATTTATTTTAACTTTAAGCTTTTAAAATAAAAGTACAAGAATAGGCTTACCTAATTAATCTTCATGAATAACTGTATTGACCAAATACTGCCACACATTTCAATTTCCCTCTGTCAAATTTGTGAGGATGACTGCACACTTAAAGCTGTAGTATTGCTTTTATCTAAATTAATTCAGTTACCTCCCCTGTACATGTACATTTTTGTATTGCTTATAAATAGTCAAATCAGTCATAGAGATAAGTCTTTTTCTAGTATTCCATTTTCTACATTTGTAAAGATCTTCCTGCATGGTTTTTAAAGAAAATCATATTCATAAGAGGGTTGCTTTATAAAATTATAGCTTGTAATTAGAGTGCATGAAAATAAATTTATGTACATTATGTCTTTTGATGAACCATGTAAAACTAAATACTATGCAAAAACTAAATTTAGTATTTAAAAAAAAACCCGCATCTACCTAGATCAGTTTTATAGATTGTGTTTTTGTGTTATAATTAACCAGCATGTCTGTAACACTGGATTTGCAATATATATTTTTTTTATTGGATTACACAAACCATGACCAAAATGAACGTTATTTTTTTTATACTTAAGCTACTAAAAAAATCAGAATCTATGTTCGCCTGAATGTCTAATTTTTAATAATTTGACTTAAAATATACACTTGGAAAGGGAATTTTTTTTTTTCATTTTGTTTTGTGGTTCATCATTAGCCATACATGGAGATGTATGTATGGAAATTGTGATTAGTTATAAAAAAATACTGATCAACATACTGTTTTGGTGGTATTTGTAAGTTATAATCCTGCCACTATCCTACATTTGAGTATTTGTGGCAATATTCCATACAGACATAAATCCTTATTTGTTGCCGATGGTGGTAGGATGGTGACAGACAAGTATTGTTTTATTTATATCACTGACTTGACTGTTAGTTAAACAAGGTTTTAATTTATCACTAGTGGTATTAGTATGTATGGCTGTTGTCATGACAACAATAATTGTGGAGAATTTATTCAATAAAATTATGTGTATTTTTATTTACTTTTTTGTTTTATTTTTTTTTGTTTTGCTTGGTGTTTATCTAGTACCTTTGTACTATTGCTTTATGACAAGAATACAGATTTGACTTAGTCCTTTGGAGTAATGGGCCTCAACCATAATCTCCCATTATGTCCAATCCCCAGACAGGTACTGTGCTATCTCCCAAGACATCCCTTTGGGTACCTCCAGATGTATTTAGCCATCTCTCAAGACATCCCTATGGGTTCCTCCAGAAGAGTCCACTTACAGCTCTGTCTTTGACGCCCTCTATTTTGCCTACACAGGAGTTCCATCAGCACCAGATGTGTCACATTTGTATGTGTGTCACTATGTTCCCCCCACCCAGTGCCACTCCCTCATTCTGATCTGTGTCGACATAGGCTCGTTACTTTATGCAAGCATGTTTTTGTGTTTTTTAAACTATGCATTTGGATGGTGTTGCTTTGAATATTTTGTGAGTGTTGCATCTATTATTTCACTGTTTGATGGTGCTGCAATTAATTGTTCAGTGTGATGGTGCTACATTTTGTTGTCCATTTGATGGTGCTGCATTTTATTGTTCCCTATTTGATGGTGTTGCATTTTATTGTTCCCTGTTTGATGGTGCTACATTTTACTGCTACCTATTTGATGGTGCTACATCAGAATTGAGAACTTGGTAAGGAAAACCATTGGACTTTATTCGGAATCTTATGTGTTGATGGTTAGAATTTGAAGCCTGTTACACAAAAGAAGAGCCTAAAATGTAAAGAATCCTGCAACAAGGTATACAATCATTTTATTGCAGTTATTGAAGCTATTCATTTGAACATGCAGTTTACATTAAGAAATTAGAATTTGCACACACAAAAATATTTTTAATCATGGCGGAAAGTTTGGGTCTTTACAAGAAAGAGGCAAATCACATCTAATCTTTTTATCTTTAAATACCCAGTAGCAAAATTTGACTGAAAGTTGACTGAATTGTAAACAAATTTATTAATCATTATGGGTTGTGTTGAGTTTAAGGAAAAGTATTTTATGAGTACACTAACACAATTAATAATGAAGAACATCGATTGATTAATATATTAAATTAATACAAAAGATTGCAATTTGGAGACTAACCTTCACAAAATGATTAACTCTTTGATGTCTATGAATTTGCCCTGACTAACTTGACTAAGTTGACTTAGTCCTCTTTGCTCCTTCTGGAACATAGAGCCTCCAAATCCTGACTGACCACCTACATATATAAAATCTGGTACAGGCACCACATAAGCTACGTAAACTATAAATAATTTATAAATAAAATAATTAAAAACATGGGCAATTGGACTACTACATTTTTGTGGGAAAACGACATTTTGAAAGTTAAATTAAGAATTTTCAGAAAAAATACTTTTGGAAGTAGAAGTTTTACAAAATAGTATACAAGTCTGTGGATATCAAAAGTTTTGAGTTTATCGTCTGCTTGTAGTCCTTAACCCAACCAGATATCGAACTCAAACCCAAGGAGCCTATGATGGAGGTGACCGACCAAGAGGGACAGTGTTCCTGTTTGCTGTAGTGATCAAATTCTTCTCCAAAGCCCAATCTGGGCAACCCATTCGCGCTGTGCAACCTCTCCACAGGAAAGAAAACAAAAAATACAGAATTCCAGTTTTGTTTTGATTTTTTGATTTCGCTTTTTAAAAAAATATGTAAATCTTTGTAAATTATACATCTATGTAATTATTTTATTAGCCTGATTTTTTGTTTGTTTTTAACTGAGAAATCAGTTGAAATTTTTTTCAGCCATTTATTTTATAAAAAATGTATGTATGTATTTTGTGTATAAAATCACTTCACAAAAATGCCGTCTTAGTATTATCAAACGCTACTGCAGAAAAAGTTTTAAATAAAATACACTATTTTCTCATCTTTATGAATTATAATATGCACAGTGGCTTTTAGATCTAGATCTAATTCCAAATGCGCTTCTTGGGTGCTGTGAAGCTACCCGTAAGATATTGGTTAGTTCGCTACTTCAAGTTGACTTGTTTCTGGTTTGCCAATTCTTTGTGGTGTTTCTAGATCCATTAGCTCTCAGTAAAGCTTTAAGACAAAAGATTACATTGTTAGATGGGCACCCACAGAGATGCAGGTGTTGATTTAATTTATGGGTTCAGAACACCTATGATTGCCCAAAGCATAGGTGAAGGTCACAATAGTTTAGATCTTTAATACTAAAAAAATTGTTGTGAGAAGATCCATATTAATATTACAAAAAAAACAACTATCAAATGAAAAACTACTGCTCAGTAATAATTTTGATAACAAAATAAAATTCAGGAACAATAACTCAATTTCACACAGAATTATCATTGCTTGCTTCCCTTGATTCTTCATTTAAAAACTCAAGTGGGGAAACTGTGTATAGATTTTAAATGCTATAGTTCCTAAAACAATGTCTTCTGCCTCAATTGAAAAGATCAGTACTTTTAACTGTACACTTGAAAAATAAACAACTAACTATTCATAGTTAGTAGCTTGTATTGAGCCATTGTTTTACAAAATATTTTTTCCGACTCCTGTTTAATTAACACCTAGTATTGTTCTGTCGTACTTCATCTTATAACCGTCTTAGTGAAAATGAAGTGACGAAATACTGCTCAGACTGTATCAAACAATGTTGATAGTTTCACGGATTAGGTGCACGTTGGTGCACGTATTAAATTTTACATAACACACAAAACTCTAACCAACCCCCCCCCCCCCCCCCCAAACCACTATACTATTTGATACAACAAAAACCGTTATGTTATATGTGAAATTTCAATAGACTTGCTGAAAATGACTTGATACATCTTTATTTTAAACCAAGCGTGAAGCTTGTGTATTGTGTTAAAAAAGATTTTCAACCTAGTAGTGCAATACTTCTAAAAGACGAAAATATAGCAAAAAAAAAGGAAAAAGAAAATCTAATTCCACAACCCCCACCCTCATAGAACACAATAACATATAAAGGTAGTTCACCAGCCCAATCCCACATTCCTATCATTTATGTTCTTAATATCATACAGCGACAAACGGCGCGCTTAATTAAAATGAAAATATCTTGTATGATTAAGTAGAGATCCTACCTTACATATAATAGTATGCAAATATTTATTTATTAGGAACAAAAATGATAAATAATAATAAAGAAAATCCGATACATAACTATGGGGTAGGGGTGGTGGGGGTCGATGGGGGTAGAGAGATCGTGATTATGGGCGAGTTACAGTGCGGGGTGGGGTGGGATGGGAAGAGTTGGTTTTACGTAACATCGGTAAATGTTCATATAATGGTGCTTATCAAGCGAAGAAAGGACTGTTTACGCACCGCTTGTTTCTCTATATTCAGGGATAATTCTAACTGACCCCCCTCCGGTAGAAGCGTATATAAATAAATAATTAAATAAATAAATTATATATATATATATATATATATATATATATATATATATATATATATATATATATATATATATATATATATATATATATATATAATGAAATATGAGACATTACTTGGTAGTTGTCAGATTTCTTCATTCTTTCTCTAGAAGTTAAAACTTCCAAAAATACAACAGTAACACACTCCAATTAAATGTAAAGAACGTTGCTCAACAGGGGAGAGAATATTTAGATCCTTCTACTGTTTGATAGTGGTTGAGAGATTCGGGGTACTTTGGAAGCTCATTCCCCACCCCCACTTTGCTACCCCATCTCCGTCCACACCAATACATCAACACCACGCTACTTCACCTACATCTTTCCCGACTTGAAATCGACATCCTAGACAGTGCTTTTTTTTCTATTGCTATTTCTACGTTTGAACTAGAAGTGATAAACGAATTCGTTAACTGCAAGTCACTATCTGTGTACCTATATTTACTCTACTTACACATGTGTTCTCGGAAAATTTCTTACCAATGGGGCATTTGATGAGATATGTGTGTATAGAAGTTCTATTTATAGACCATTCGGATGTTTTCCGCATTATTCTGTATGCATCTATTTTTTTAAATGGTACTGTTGCTTGGCCATATTACGTGATTTTAAGTTTACAATCAGAATATTTTAGAGTTAAAGTTAGTACTTTGATTAGGATTTGTGTTAGAATTGTTTGGTTTGTGTTTTTAGTTCGAGCTTAGGAAAGAGGCTAGTAGAAACTGAGGCTGTTTTTTTTCTTTGTATTTTTGGGTGCGACTGGACATAGTGTTAACACAAATGAAAAAAAAAACAATATCTCTAGTTTGTCTGCCCAATGGACCGTCAGATCTGAAATGGGTACTTTAAATTCGTACATGTACCGTTAGGGTTTTATTCAGGGTTTCTTCCAGACTTCTTTTTCCGGGGGGGGGGGGGGGCACTTGAAATTTTCGGGGGGGGGGGGGCAGTAGACTTTCTTCCGGGGGGGGGGGGGGCGGACACTGTTAAAAGTATATATTTTCTATATAAATTATATAAATTTCTAAGCCTGCAGTGCTTATCTTGTTGACATCACACGCTATTCAACTCACGGTCTTCGTGTTTATTATGTGCATGCAGCTTTCAGCCTAGTTGTAGTTAAAAAAAAAAACCTCAGCTTGTGTTTTGTTTTATGAAGGGAAACGACTACTTTTTTTGTGAGTTACCGAACCTGAATTTTTTTTCCTTCTCAGTATATATCCAGCCTAAAATTGTTTGTTGAATTTAATTTATTTCACAAATTTTTTTTACCCATCGTAAGAAAAATTCATAGATTAATTTTCAAAAACATTCAGCAAAAGTATTTCCAGTCAAGCTTAGTTTATTAGTATACACTTTAAAATAATTAGCAAAACTTATATTAAGGAATGTAGTGTTTTCATGATCAGTTTTTAAGAAAAAAAAAGCTGTGTATGCAAATAGATACACAGTTACATTTGCTTTACTTGTAATGTATTTTGTAAAATATTTAATTTGGTATAAAATGTTTCATGCTTAAATTAAATTTGGCGTATGAATATATTTCCTGGCCGTTCGCAGTATGCATTATGTCAATCAACCATAATATGTGCTAGCCTACTAAACACATAATACATCTGGCTTTATATTTAATTGACGTGCTCTCTCTAGTTTATTTTTTCGATACCCCTATTACTATTTATTCTAACTCATTATTTGCGAAACGTGTCTGCGAAAGATTAACCATTAACTGTTCAACAATTATATTGAATCGCATTCGTGCTTTGAAGATATTTAAAAATATCGCCGCCCATCAATTTTTTCCGGGATAATATTTTTTTTTAGTACGCCTGATTGTGAATGAGATTGTATATTCCTTTAGCGTATGGACCAATGCCTTTAAAGCTTATCATAGGTCTAGTAAGTTCGTGCTTTATTGTAATAAAATGCACAGGATCAATGTTCTAATAGTTTTTTTTTCGAAGGTAAAAAAATCCATGTTTACATTATATGATTCAAAACAAATAGATACACTGCTTATTTGTATAGGCTGTCAAATTAGAACTGATTTTGAAATTTGTTACAAATATTCTGTTATATTATTACACCTTTTCAAAATTATTTTTTTTTGCAGAAAAAAAATACGTAAAGTTTTAAATAATTGTTAAGTATTTAGATATAGTTAAATTTACTGCTACGGAATGTAAAAAGCTATATAATGTTTGCTTGAAATTTGTATCTCAAATTAAATTTTTCAAAGAAAAAATACAACGTGTTCGTTTGAATAATACCTATTCTCAAAAGCGATCATCTTCCTTTTGTTTATAATATATTTGCATTAGATAGTCTCCTCATACGGTAACCACGGTTCCAGCGAAAACGAGTAAACGGAAATATGCGCGATCGAAAACTGCGCAAACAGAAAAATGCGCAAACAGAAAAATGCGCAAACAGAAAAATGCGCATATACACACTCATTTTACTATTGCGTTCATTTTTCATATTTCGTGGTAAACTGTTTTATTATATGCTACAATGTTCATGTGGTCATTTTTTGCTATCGTCTGGAAATAATCGATAAGTAAATCAGTCTGGCTCATACAGAAGATTACGAATCAGGTACCCGACTACATGTATGCAGGTGTTCTTTGAGTAAATACACCCAGGGAACAAAAATAACTCTTACCTTTTTCCTTTCACAGTGACACGTTTTTACTTTCTCGTATATACGAAGTATAGAGAAAGTCTTGTAATCGTGCAAAAAAAAAAATCGAGATTTTTACAAATCTCGACGTTTTACACCTCACTGATCCGGAAAAACATAATTTTGCAATCTTGTCCGTATGTCTGTGTGTCTGTGTGTGTGTCTGTCTGTCTGTCTGTCCGTGTGTAAACACGATAACTTGAGTACCGTTACAGCTAGGTTGATGAAATTTCATATATAAGTATTTTATCAAAATCGTAGATCCGTATCAACTTTTGAACGATTTCCGATAACCGGAAGTGGTACTTTTTCTACTTTGAATTTTTCAAAAGCCTATAACTTGAGTACTATTTCAGATAGATAAATGAAATTTCACATGTAAGTAAAAGATCTAATTCTCTACCTTCTGTTAAATTTTGAGTAATTTCCGTTGACCGGAAGTAGTAATTTACGCTACTTCCGATTTCTCAAAAAACTAATGTAAATTTTAAAAGTACTAATAATATTGCGCACTATTATGCGCTTTTTTATTTGGCGTTCACTTGGTGTGCAATTAATTTGTCTACGAGATTTTATTCTATTTTTAAAACTTTAAGTATTTAAAATGGATTAAAAATCATGTCTATAGCCCGAGTTCCCATCCCCTGTTATTTTATATAAGAATATTCGAGAAAGTTTAGGGGAGATCACTCCCGGTTTATTTTTTTAACAAAATTATACTGCAATAGTTGAAGTTTCCACCCAAACACATACTTCTGCCTAGGACTACGGGCGGAACGTATTAACATGTTTACATTACCAATCAACTTACATGGATGTTGACAACCGTGTTTTTTGTCCATCGTTTTTACACATTTTCTACCATCAAATAATGTCACAAACAAACCTTAATTTTTTTTTCTAGGCTCCGTGCGCTCATTTAAATAGACGCGTTTTAAAGCAAAGTCTAATTAAAATTGCACACATAATTACAAATAAAATAAACGAAATGTAAAAAATGACGAACACTTCCATCTATTTTCAATGAAACGGAACAATAATCTTGAATTTTTAAACATATTTTTGTATTCATCGCAAACAACATTTGCTGAGGGTCAGCCTTTATAAAATAGCAATTGTTAATTCCCAACACCAACACACACACACACACACACACACACACACAGACACACACACACAGACACACAGAAAAAACATCAATAAAAAACATAACCATAGCTTCTTTGCACTAAATGAACCTTCCCTTAATGCTCTGAGCCTAACGAACGTAATTCTTAATGACACAGCGCTGCTGGGTAATTAATTAACCATGAACCCGAACAGAAATTTCGATCATTGTTGAAACGTCCTACGCTCACAACGTGTCTTGGGTTACCGTGAATTTTCATCGCTGGGTATTGTGTCTTAGCGTTACATTGTTCCCACTTAAACCCGTAACAGCTCAGGAAAACAATACCTTCTTTAAACACCATCGGCTGTTGAATTATTTACTGCCTTTTTTTGTCTTGGTCACATGACTTGCTTACGAATTAGCGATTGGGCGTAGGACGAATTGATTGAATCGGAAGGAAGTTCCAACCCGTTTTTTTGTTGTTTTAACTCGTAATTTTTTTGTCAACGTGATTAGCACATTTAAGTCACTAGAATTTTTTTAGATCTGACGAGGTGATTCATTCTCTCCTCTGACAAACACTAACACACTATGTATATATATATATATATATTATAAATATAGCCTAATGGTTTTTAAATGTACTGTAGTCCCATATATATATATATATATATATATATATATATATATATATATATATATATATATATATATATATATATATATATATATATATGCGGGACATAAACTACAGTACATTTAAAAACCTTTATATTTATAATAATGTTTAAAGGCACTGAATATAAGAAAATACAACATATTTGAAGTGTACATAAAAAATGTATACAGTTCATGAGATCTCTTACATATTTAAATGACAATGCTTTTATTAAAGGTAGCAAGTTTGTTTTATTATCTTATATTTAGTGCATTCAAAAACTTATTTTTAGGAAGGATTTTATATTTAATTTATTTTCTATTTTTTTAGTAATTAGTTTAAAATGAAAAGGACACCACTTAGGCTATGACTAAAACTATTTGCTTTAAAACCCAATTTATCGCTTGCTATCCTTAAAAGACAGTTATCTGCTCTTTCTTAGTCCACTGTCAACTGTTTGTGATTTGTTAGTACTTAATCTTTTTATTTCCCTTTAAATTATTGAATTTAGTAAATTTGAAATTAAATTTTTATTGACAAAACGAATTGCTAATTAGATTAAAACTATTATTCTTGCATTGTAATATAAGATGAATGTATTTGGACAGTTAGAATGAAATCGATTCATTATCGGTGGGTTTAAAGTGAGTTAAATGATTTTCCCACAAACGCCAAAAAAAAAGTGAACTAAATAAAAATTTATATTAAGACTGAACAATTTAATGAAGAGTTAATTTCTAAAACTGGCTAATTAAAACATTAGACAATCAAAGACACTCACAAAACAGATATAAGTTTATGAGAACATAATTTTTCTTTCGCCAATGGTAAAATATTGATTTTTTTTTAAAAACTTTATAATGGAAAAAAAATTGAAAAACGAAATGTTTTCTTCTGTTGTCCAGGTAACTGTTTTTGCCAATACATGAATAGTTTACTCGTGTAGTCATAGTAACCGTTAGTTCCGACATAGGATAACAAAATAGTACCAGTTGACCTTCACCTTGACCGGTTCAGTCAAGTGGTGATTAGATTTTTGGAAGATTTCCTGTAGGCTAGGGAAACGGAAAGTCAGAACAAATTACATGTAGGAAACAAGATAACCAATCAAATAACATATAAAAAACAAGTTAACCAATCAAATAACATATCAAAAACAAGTTAACCAATCAAATAACATGTCACAAACAAGCTAACCAATTAAATAACATGTCACAAACACGCTAACCAATCATATTAAAATGTTACAAACACGTTAACCAATCAAATAATATGTCAAAACAAGTAAACCAATCAAATAACATGTCGCAAATAAGCTAACCAATCAAATAGCATGTCACAAACAAGTTTACCAAAGTAAAACACTGCTAGCATTAGATGTCATCAACCATTAGATATTGTTATAAACTTTAAATTATTCATTTCTTAATTTCCAATGTCTGAATTCTTACATCAAGTTCTAGCCTGAAAATTTCGAGTTCGGATCTCCTTGAGCCTGCTCAGCTCTGATGGGTACCTAATTCACGTTTCGAAATGGCAAAGGAGACCGGGCATAGTACAGATCATAACATCACTTGATAAATCAAGAAACGTATGAAATCTACTTTATCTGCCAAATGGATCATTGGTCTAAAAGGGGAACTTTACTTACTTTACATTTACAAATTATATATATATATATATATATATATATATATATATATATATATATATATATATATATATATATATATATATATATATATATATATATATATATATATATATATATATATATATATACACACACACACACACACACACGCACACACACGTCTTGTCAAGCAAGGACTCTACCTACATACTCGGCTCTGGGCAGTCTAACTAAATTAATTACCTCTGTTTCATCTCCGCTAGAATATCCCTGTCTGGATTATCGTCTGCAAACAACTTTGTGTAGTGGAAGCTGGCCAGGTAACCCACAATCCCATCTAGCGTCAGCTCACCTGTCTTGATGATGTCATCGTGTCTAAGCAGGTGGGAGGGAGACGTTCGGTCAAAGCCAATCAAAATGTCGTTTATTGCCATTTTTATTTTCTCAACCAATCAAAACATCGCATCTCAATATTTGAATTGTTTAGCCAATTAAATAATTTGACTCTTGTAGTCTATACAGAGTCAATGCGAGGCTGGGGCGGAGGGCGCGGACCGCACCGGGTGAATCCGTTTAGGGGGTGACGCCATGGCGATAAATTGCACAATATATAAAAGAAATATGCATTTCGCCTGTTCAATTAATGATTAATTAGAGTAATTCCACATGTATTAATAACTGAATATAGATAAACATCTTTACTATTAACTGTGCACATGTTAAAACTATCTTTGGGGTGGGGGGGGGGGGGGGAAGGGGCTGGTTGAAACCAACTGCAAAATGTACAGAGGAAAAAAGGTTTTGTTGAATTTTTCGAATACCTAGAAAGTCAATCAACGACCGGGGTGAGGGTGACACCAAAATCTAATAATTTACATTGAAAACGATGCTGTGTCCACATGAATCAATAGGTGTATTAAAATAATGTGCGCACAAATTGACGCAATTTGGCAAAATGTGAGGGGGTGACACCATGAGGTGCCGCACCGGGAAACACCCGACTTAGCGACGCCACTGAGACTATACATTATCAGACCCCTGCTATCAAAAATTAGTCAGGCTCAGCTATGAAGAACGTCATCAGACCCTGGTATAAAGTTAAACATCATCTAGGAATTCTAAATATCACTAGACACAGAAACTGTCGCAGCAAAATAAGCAATTGATAACATTATCCCTACTCCCACTATGTGGTTACAAACTTTCCGTACCTCCTAATATCCTTAAACGGAAACTCCAGAGACTGAAACTTTTCTAGAATCATCCGGAAGCGTGTCGTTAGGTACCCTGAGAAGATGGTCGACTGCAGCTGGTGAGTAGAATTGATGATATATGTACTCACACAATAATCCACACACAAGTTACTCTAGGCTAGATAATGGTTGTTTGGTATATGCTGTGACTTATAACAGTGAACATAGTAGTTCAAATTCGGGTGTAACATATATATATATATATATATATATATATATATATATATATATATATATATATATATATATATATGTGTGTGTGTGTGTGTGTGTGTGTGTGTGTGTGTGTGTGTGTGTGTGTACATACTTTGGAAAAAATACACTGCAACAGTAAACAGATAAGTACGATAATACATGACAAACGGGACTTTAACATAGAAACACTCTTCAACAAGGAATACACGGACGATGAAAGCCAATATCTAAATTACATAACAAGGATAGACAATGATGACTATACTAAAATCAACAATCCAATTACAAAAGAGGAAATATCTGAGACGATAAACGGACTAAAACTAAATAAAACTCTAGGACCGTAAGGAATTTTATAAAACGTTTAGAAATGACTTAATATTCATTTTAGAAGCTACATTTCAACACACACATGGAGAGATGATTATGTTACAGAATTTAAAAGAGCATAAATAACACTCTTTTGTAAACACGGGCCTATTTCATTACTGAACGATTATTATAAAATACTGAAAAAAACATTAATTAAGAAACTCGAACCTTTCATACCTAAATTGGTACAACCCGATCAGCAGTACAGCACATCAGGTAGAAACATACAAAAACCACACGCACTTAATCAGAGACATCATACATTATAGCCCGCAGAAGGACACACGACTAGTAATTCTTAGTAAGAAATATATTTTAATTACTCCTTAAAAAATTAGTAAAGTATCCAATTAAATCCAATTTGATTTCAGATTTCATTGTCATTGGGTCTTGACCAACGTGTGAGGTTTTCAGAGAAATTGGTCGGTTAGAAGTGGTCGAAACATTGCTCGCCAGTTTCGTTCCGTAAAACAGTCATATGACAGAGGAAGCAAGTTGAATAAAAGTTTGCAATAAATGATTTTTTCTAAAAGTATAACAATGAACTGCTATTTAAATAACTAAGGTCGCTATTTTATGTATAGAATATATTTTCTAGAAATTAGGAAGCGGCCCACGCTATTCTCATGAAAAAATACAATTACAAAGGAATCTTCTATAGCAATTATCTCAAATTTAATCTTACAGTCATTAACTCTGCCCGTATTCGTAAACTATATTCATGAACACTAGATTTGATTTCGTTTAAATTAATCTGTGATGGCAATGTTAATAATAATTGAAATGGGGATATTCTGCCATTTTTATTGAACAAACTTATTCTGTTCAAAATTTTAAATGGATTCACTATTTTAGTACTAGGCCAATTTAAATTACAGGATTTGAACTCAAGCACACAAACTAGTTCCCACCTCACATTCTAACGCTCACACACATTTACACTCGCACTCGTACTTTCAGACAAACGCACACACACACACACACACACCTTTAACACACATAGAGACACACTTGCACTTGCACACACACTCGCACACACACAATTAATGTTGTGAACATACCTGAGCGATGTAGGCACGGACCTCTGGGTGCTCGAAGTTCTCGTGAAACATGCTGTAGACTGCCAGGGTACCGTCTGGTTTCAGGACACGCCTCGCTTCGCTGAAAAATCTGGGAATTGTGAAAACAAAATAAGAAATTGTTACAACATGTCTGTACTGAAATACCAAGACTAAGGAGTAAAGGATGCCACAGAAGACGAGGATGGGGAGCTGTGGGGTTGGATTACTTTTTGGTTACCCTGCGTGAGGGGCGGGATAAACAAATTTGAGGATGCAAGTGGAAAATTTATTTATTTTAAAAAATGAGTGTAATGTGTCAAAATTTGTTGGGATTATATTTAAGAAGTTAGAGTGGAGTTGAAATTTGTGATGTCAATTTACGGAGGAATGAAGAGAGAAGTATTACTTTTTGTGACAAAGATTAACGATAGGAATAAGGGGAGTGAAAATAACGTTACGTTACTTATAGACAACCCCTTCCCCATTAAATGTATAATTCTAACTGTAAATTTAATTTCGGTTCTTACTTTTTGTAATCCATCCAATGTAGGGCGGTTGCCACGGTTACCATATCCACCGTCTTGTCCCCCAGAAAGTTCAGGTCTTCGGCGTAGGCCACCTTGTAGTCTAGGTTGGGGGCGTTTCTTGGAATAATGGACAATTGGTCTTCGCTGACGTCTGACCCTATGACCTGTAGGTTGAGTGGTTTATTAAAATCCTTAATTTTTATAGAATTGAAGCCCACGCTCTCTAGACTAAGTATTTTAGCGTATCTTAATAATTTAAACATTAATGTTAGTTGATATTTGGTTTGCCCCACGTTTTTCATCGCTTATAGTAGAGTGATCGCTTGCATTATTGTGATGTATAGCATTTATTTTCTACTTTTTAGTTCAATCAGAAAACGTGGGTTTATTAAAACTTTTTTAATGATAATTATTTTCTACTTTTTAGTCATTGTCTGTTTGTTTGCTTTAAAATCTTGCTATCGATTTTATCTTTTCGCATTCACTTTTTCTTTGGGTAAACGAAGATAACTCGTAAAAAACACGTGCATTGAACCCGTGTCGAGTGGGTTAGCAATCGTGTGCCCAACCACTCGACCATATCGTCTCCCCCATACTGGCCACCAGTTGTTACGTTCTGGTTGTTTGTACACAAACACCGCGTGACAACTACTCAGTAAGCAAAAAGAGGGAGAGTACCGAACCTTGTTTTCATCAAATTTCCCCCCACGTTTTTTGAACAATTATATAGCGGTCTAAAATGATCAATAAAATGTTTCCATTGATCAATTTAGTAATAATAACAATTGAATATTCTATTGTCATCGGAAACAAAGCTTCCCTGAAAATTTCAGCGCGCTAGCTAACTGGGAAGTGCCCGAAATTTCGATCGCAAGATTTGATTGGAAAGACGAGAAAGCAAGTTAAAGAAAACGTGGGGATATAAAAATACAAGCGGGGTAGTTTACCTTGATGTATTGAACTACAGGTAAAGAGTCGGAAAAAAGCCAATAAAATATTAAAATACTCTCCATACCTGCTGGAAGTATTTGGTCAGGGGCCGAGTACTCTGACCAGTTTCACAACCAACGTCAACAGCGAGTAGTCTCTTGTTTTGTGGTATTTCTGAATGGTATGCCAGGATTTTCTCGTAAATCTCCTGGGGGTAGGTGGGCCTGTGGGTCGCGTAGATCTGGGCAAACTTCTCCCCCTTGTGGAGATCTTGGGGGATTTCGTCAAACTTGGACGTCAAGTCCTGGTAGTAAAGTTCTCAAGATATTTAAAAAAACTGATGAGGTGTTATCAAAATAAATTTGGTTATAAAAACATTATTGTGAGTAAAGATTTGATTGAATTTTTGTATTTTCGGTAACCGAACAAAATTACAAATTAAAAAAATCAAAAAAAAATCCACACAATATTTTTTTTCCATTTTAACTAGGTCATAAGGTTATAAAAATAAGTTTATTAAAATTTTTTTCAGGGAAAGTTTTGATTACAAATTACTATATAATGGGGTTTTCAGAAGATGGATCTCGGAGTTTCTGTATAAAGATAAAATTTGATTGAAAATTCAACCACCGGACTTAAATGGTTGTCTAGTTATTTATGCTTTGAGAAACCGGAATTAGAGGTAACCTCTAATTCCGGTTTCTCAAAGCATAAATAACTAGACAACCATTTAAGTCCGGTGGTTGAATTTTCAATCGCTCAAAAGTTGATTGAAAAATCAAATAAGATTAAATTCTTGCATACAGAACTACAAATTTGGTATTATAAATCCTCTATTCTTCGAATACCAGACACTAAAAATACAGAGGGTTTATTTTTTTTGTAAAATATTGAGGAGTGTCGTTTACGATTGAAAATTTTCCGGGAGATTGAATTTCGAATTAAAAGTTTGCCAGAATATGAATTTTGTTTAAATTTTATCGTTTTTGTTTTAAAAAATACTAATTAAAAGTGTAAAAAAAACATCCCATAAAATACCTTAATTGCATTAATATGCTCCATTTCAGAAAAATGAAAATATTGCTATAATTTTGATCATGAGTTCAACAGCATTAATTGTAAGCCAGGAAGGTGAAAAACAGCATCACTAATACAGGCAGCATAAAATGATATCATATCCACCTACAACGTACTGTGTCAAGAAAATTAGCCAGCGTTAGCATGACCACACCTCAGGTCATAATTAATCTGAAAGAAACATTAAAAAAAAACCGGGATTGATCTCCGCTAAACTTTCTCGAAGATTCTTATATAACACTACGGGGGGATGGCAACTTGGGAAATAGACATGATTTTTAATCCAATTTTAATTATTACTTAAACTTAAAAAAAAAGAATAGAATCTCGTAGAAAAAAGAATTGCGCACCAAATGAAAGCCAAACAATATGTGTATAATAGTGCGGAATATTTTTAATAATTTATAAATTCACATGCGTTTTTTTAAAAATCGGAAATTGCGTAAATTACATTTCTCGTCAACGGAAATTACTCAAAATCAGGCAGAGAATTAGATCTTTTACTTACACGTGAAATTTAATTGATCTATCTGAAAAAGTACTCAAATTATAGGCTTTTGAAAAATTGAAAGTAGAATAATTTCAACTTCTGGTTACCGGAAATCGCAGAAAAGTTGATACAGACATTTGATATAATACTTAGATATGAAATTTCATCAAGCTAGCTGTAACGATAATCAAGTTATCGTATTCAGAATCACACATACACACATATAAATACACACACATAGACATACGAACACAATTGCAAAACTATGTTTTTCCGACTCATAGACGAGTAAAACATCGAGATTTGTAGAATTTTTTTTTTGCACGATCACAATACTTCCTCTATACTTCGTATAGCAGAAGGTAAAAAACAAACAAACACCACAGCTAAGAATATATATTCGAACTTCATCAGCCTCCAATTTCTTGTCATTGCTAGATTTCGAAATGTTAGTGTTAGTTATACGGATGATACATCTCCCCCCCCCCACCCCCACCTTCACTAATTCTCGAGGTCGCAAATGTCAGATTGCCCTTACTGTCTGCATTTCAGGAATCTTTTTAATCTTTTATTTTTCTAAAGCCAGGTCGTTTCAAAGAGAACATTTTTTTTGTTGCAGCTAACCCAGCCAAGCAACTCTGCACACGTCGTCTTAATTTGCACACATTCAACTGGTTTATATAATAATACCTTCGGGATGACCTAGTGCTTGACATGCATGACAGGAGTTTCAACCTGTATTTACTTAAACACAGGTTAAATATGTAGGTGTAGTTCACAAAGAGACGGTCACATTTGGAGACAGGTGGACAGACAGAGTGGTCACATTTGGAGACTGATGTGGGCACAGAGATGGTCACATTTGGAGAAAGAAGATGGACACACAGATGGTCACATTTGGAGACAGAAGATGGACACAGAGATGGTCACATTTGAACTAGTTAAATATGTAGATGCAGGTCACAGAGAGACGGTCACATTTAGAGACAGGTGGACAGACAGAGTGGTCACATTTGAAGACAGAGGTGGACACACACAGATGGTCACATTTGAAGACAGAGGTGGACACACACAGATGGTCACATTTGAAGACAGAGGTGGACACACACAGATGGTCACATTTGGAGACAGGTGGACACAGAGATGGTCACATTTGGAGACAGAGTGGGACACACAGATGGTCACATTTGGAGACAGAAGATGGACACACAGATGGTCACATTTGGAGACAGAGGTGGACACAGAGATGGTCACATTTGGAGACAGAAGATGAACACACAGAGATGGTCACATTTGGAGACAGAAGATGGACACACAATGGTCACATTTGGAGCCAGAGTTGGAATCACAGATGGTCACATTTGGAGACAATTTATTACAACAACCACAAAATAAAGCTGCAACTTTACCCTACCTGCGCGTTGACCTGTACCAAAAAGTCAGACAACTGAATGTAGGCCAACCTAAACGATACTGGAATTTTTGCCCAGTTTTTATAAAAAAATATTTTTTTTGCAGCATGAAATATCTGTGCCAGGTCATGCTGAGCTTAACGCGTGTATGTTTGTGTGCGTGTGAGAGAGTGTTTGTGAGAGTGTTAGATAGAGAGAGAGAATATACGTCTCATCATCCTTTAAAATTTAAATGGTTTAATGTGTTTGTCTTGTAATTTTAATCTATCTCTTGTTATTAAATTTATTTTTATTGGACTGATCCAATTTCATCTCATTGAAACACATAAAGTGAATAAATTGTATTTTTTGTTGTTTTCAAAATTCGCTGGTAAAAAGCAGATTGAACATATTAATAAAAATATGGATCTCTGCAAAATAGCTTAAAATATCTTGTAAAGCATTTCTATGCATATCTGGCAAAATACAATTGCTAACCTAGGGCTAATCAATAGTTGTCGTAATTAAACCTCACTATAATTCAGATTGCTTAAATCATGGCAGATACGAATTTTTGCAACACCATTTATTTTTTGAAAAATTAACTTTGATTAAAAAAATATTCAGTATCACTGAAATAATAAAATATCTTTTCCAGTTTCTCAAAAAACAGTATATTCTAAGGGCAGTATCTTCTAAAAAGCACTATATTCTAAAAAGCAGTATATTCTAGAAGGAAGTATATTTTAAAATGCAGTATGTTCTAAAAAGCTGAATATTCTAAAAAGCAGTATAATCTAAAAAGCAGTATATTCTAAACAGCAAAAAAAAAAGGTTCAATCTTTGCGTTGCTCAAAAGACGAGCAGTTTTACCACAAACCTACATACATTCTCTAAATGTGTCACCATAACATTGATTATTATATCTAATATATAAAATTGAATTCTGTATGTAGAGGACGGGCGGATGGACTCGTGATTACAAAGGTTTATATAGTAAAAAAATAGACTGGATCGCCATAGTATAATATCTCTAAAGTGCTCATTATCTAAACTAATTATTAAAAAAAAATAACATTAAAGGTTTTCTAAAACAAATTTTATTTTCCAAACTTATGGTGTTAATTGACGACATGTGCATTAAACAAAATCAAAGAAAATGTATCACCTTTCAGAAAAATTCTTATTGTGTCTGAAAATTATTTTCATTTAGACCTTTAGCACTTATTACGCCCCTTGATAAATTAGGAAAAGACAATTACTTCCCATTAAAAAATATTACCTCGGGGAAAAATACTTTTTATTGCAGTATTTTGGGGTTGGCAAAATAATAATTACATTATTAGCGTGGATTGATAAAGTGCAATGAAGTAAGTAAAACACATGAACATTAAAAACTGTCTTTTATTTATTTTATATTTTGAACGTACTGTTTACTAAATATTATTTGTAATCAATAACAGTTTAGAAGCCGCTCCTAAATGTTCTCTATATTTACTTCTATCTTTCCGTTTGCGGAAAAGCTTGGCGTATTATATTCGTTCACTAAATTGAATCAGGCGTGTCCGCTGGCGCCCCGGCAGGATGCGATTTTTCGCCCTGGCCTATCCTGTTAGAGCTATTGTGTAAACGTTCATTTTAAACTATGCAATAGGCTGTGAATAAAAAGAGTTACTATAGTCGGACACTAAATCGAATCCAGTGCGTCTTCTGGCGCCCCCAAGAGTGCTATTTGGCACCCCTGGCCTTCCCGTGAGCGCTATGGCGCCTAAGTTCGTTTTAAACAGTGCAATAGACTATGGATAAGAAAGGTTACTATAGTCCTTAACTAGATCGAAACCGGGCGTCCTCACGCAAGATATATATATATATATATATATATATATATATATATATATATATATATATATATATATATATATATATATATATATATATATATATATATATATATGAAAACTGTCTCACTATATTTTAAATTAAACCATTTAAACTTTATCATTGCAAAATATATCCACCATGCGACAACAAACCACACAGAGGTAGGCTCAAACTCAGGGGCGTAGCAAGGGGGGTGCGGGGGGTGCGGACCGCACCGGGTGACACCATTTAGGGGGTGACACCAAGGCAAAAATAGCAAAATATATAGAGAAAAACTTAAGGGGGGGGGGTGCAAATCGAAAGTTTGAGGGGGAGGGGTGCAAATCGAAAACTTGAAAGTTTGTCCCCGGGAAGGGTCGCTACGCCTCTAGGGGGTGACACCATTAAGTGCCGCACCGGGTGACACCCGACCTCGCTACGCCACTGCTCAAACTCATATCTGGCCTGAAATAATCGAGTTTTAAAACGCCTTAATCTCATTTATGTCCGCCGTAGCTTTTTTATTCTCTACGCAACAGTATGTTAGTTACTGTAGAACAATCACTGTCGTCGTCATAAAGGATGCAAAATAGAATATAATGTTCTAATTATTGGAATCTCTCTTCAATAGACTATATACCCATATCCAAGATAGTGTAGTAGAATTCTACTTTGAAATTCTGTTTAAGATCTTGTGGTGCCAACAATTAATTTAGTTTGAAAATTGAAATCTCTCACTGGTTAACGAGATTTCTAATTCAAAGTGAGAGAAAACGAGACTTACAATCCCTATTAAAAATAAAAATTGCACGCGTTATACACGTCTCGACATGGAGTGATCTCTAAATCAACATTAAAATAAGATAGTCATCTGAAACACCACAGCTAAGAATAGATTCGAACGTCATCAACCTCCACTCCCTCCTCCATGCTAGATTAAAGAATAGGGCTGGTAAGTAGGTCACCAACCAGTTCTATGGCTCATACAGGTTTTATTGAGCCGTAGAACTGGTTGGTGACCTACATACCAGCCCTATTATTTGTGTTATTTTCACGAATGTTACACCACCCTTCCCACACGCATGATTTCTTGATGTAGCACATGTCAGACTGCCCTAGCCGTCTGCGTTTCAGGACACCCAGGTCGTTTCAAACAAAATAAAACGTTTGATGCTCCTAACCCAGTCACCCATTAATTTACATACATTCAGGTTAAAATACGTTTACCCTTGACTTATATTCTA